CCTATGAAACACAGCTGAGAACAAAAACAAGCATAAAAATGCCTTAACAAAGTGGACCCCAATGCTGTAGTCTACTGCGCTAGTCCAGTTTCCACGATTCACGTATCCTTTTCGATGTGGGTGGGCAGCAGAGTGTAGCCGCTGCTTCCTACTCCTACAGTCGAACCCAGTATGACGCTTTTGCCGTTGAAGTCATAATATAGCGTGGAATGGAAAGCTATGTTAGCGATCACGACACAGTACTCAGCTAACGCAAACATCGTGTAGACTCCAGGCTCGCAGTAGGTGTTGTGCCTCCAATACAAATATGTCGCAAGCATCATTGAAATTATGGAGCAAGCACAAGCTAGAATCTTATACTCATACGATCGTTCGCCCTAAAATAACGAGAATTGAAGCAAGATTTTCTAATCGAATGTAAATCTTACCAAGTTTGTCGCACGTCTTCTTCCCGAATAATGAAAGAGCCATGTACTAAGCAACATATATATTGTGGCTGTTATGGCAAATCCACAGAAACAAAGTTTGTGAAGACCTGAATTATGCCATAATTAAGCTGCTGCGAGTGAGTAAACAATAACTCAAAAGTGCGAAGGGAAAGAGATTTACCGTGATTCTCGATAGAAGAAATTGCTGTCAATCCCAAAAGGAAAAGATTTTCGAGAAACTCGAGAATGCATGATATATTGCATAACAATCTATACATGCGCACTCCTGTTAGTGGCCGTAACGGAGAGAAAAGCAGATAGTTCCTGTGATGAAATGTGTGTAATATAAAAAAGAACTTAATGGACGCTCCATCAAATATATATAAGCACATTTCATAATTGAAGTGAGAAAAACCAAGATGATAGAGCGAATTGTCGAACTACGCGAAATGCATGTCAATAAATGCGGCTGCAGTTGTGATGCCAAACTTCCTACGAAGACTTCTATAAACTTAGTAAGATATCAAACATTTAGGCCCGTATGCACGCACATCCCCGCTGGGGAGGGGAGGGGATCTGGGAGGGAATGCGATATATCTCACTAGTCTAGGTATCTTTCTTCTTCCTTCTCTATCTTGCTTATGA